TGGCCTATGGCAATCCATCTCAGCTTGCTAGTGCATAGTATATCATTATGTGTTCCATTTCTTTTTTAATAATGTCCAATTTTCCTACATTCTTACATCTTACATTCCACATGCTAATTATTAGTGGCTGTTTGCAACTGTTCCTCTTCATTTGTTTCCCAGTAAGAGGACTCCGCCTCCAGTGCTTTATCTAATAGTCTAAATATGCTCTATTGTTCATAAGGTTTTGAAAGGCCTGTTAATTTGGAGGTGGAAGGCCAATCCTTCTTTCTAAGTTGTTGTGGGTTTGTTTGTTTGTTTGTTTGTTTGTTTGTTTTAATGTGGAAGCTCAACTTTAGTACAATATCTGACAGACAAGCATTTTAACCAAAAGAGCAGAGGTCATGGTACTACTGACATTAGTACTAATGTCAGGTGGACTTTAGCTGAAAGCAGAGAGTACCAGAAGGATGTCTACTTGTGCTTTATGAACTATGCAAAGATATGTGACTGTGTGGAACACAATAAATAGTAGCGCTGGAGAGGAAGACCCTCTACGAGGTGGACTAATTCGCTGACTGGGGTAATCGGGATGGTGTGTCGGAGACAGTGAGATTGGCACAGGACAGAGCAGAGTTTGGGGTTGTGGTACATAGGGTCGCTATGAGTCGCAAGTGACTAGACGGCACTTAACAACACAACAAAAGCAAAAGAAATAATGTCTAAAATTCACCACGGCTATAAAATAATAAGTAAAGTAATAAATAAGTCACTGTGTTTCAATATCACCGGTGTGTGGTTCAACTCTCCAGGCTGCTCCCTAAGAGAAGGATGGGCATCTGCTTTTCATGCAACCTACTGCCTCTGAAAACCTGCTGGAGGGTAAGCTATGAGTCAGTCCTGGATTGACAGCACACAACAATAACGAAACATAATAAGGGTGACACAGTCTAATCATAAGCAAATGAAACCTGAAACTGCAACTAAACCTAGTCGCAAACATAAATAAATAGATAAACATCTTCCCAGAATGCAGAGCTAACAGATACTGTCTGATAATTTCCACACTCTTTCAGGTCACCTTTCTTTGGAATGGGAATAAATACGGATCCCTTACAGTCAGTTGTCCAGGTGGTTGTCCTCCAGATTTCTTGGCACAATTTAATGAGGTCATCCAGTGCAGCTTTTCTTTGTTGAAATATGTCAACTGGTATGCCATCAATTCCTGGAGTCTTGGTTTTTGCCAATTCTTTCAGAACAGCCTGAATTTCTTCCTTGATTACCACGGGCTCTTGCTCATACATTTTTTTTTTTAAATTCTTATGTCAGCCAATTCCTTTTGGTACAGTGACTCCGAATATTCCTTCCATCTTCTTTTAATACTTCCTGGATCATTTAATATTCTGCCCAAAGCATCCTTGATTACAGCAACTCTAGGTTTGAATCTGTTCTTCAGTTCCTTGAGCTTAAGAAATGCTGAGCGAGTTCGGCCCTTTTGATTTTCTGACTCTCGTAGCTCTCTGCACATTTCATTTTAGTACTTGATTTTGTCATGTCATGTTGCCCTATGAAATCTTCTGTTCAGCTCCTTAATTTGTTCCCTTTGCTTTGGCTTCTCAGTGCTCTATTGCAATAGTCAGAGTCTCATCTGACATCTATCCTAGTCTTTTGCTTCCTTTTTTGACAGGGTGTACACCAGTGATGTGTTTTATCTCCATAACTTTTCAATCTATATGCAGAACAGATCATCCAGGAGGCTGGGCTCTATGAGGACAAATGTGGCATCAAGATTAGAGGAAGACTTATTAATAACTGGCATTATGCAGATGACATAATCCTGCTTGCTGAAATGGAGAAGGACCTGAAGCACTTGCTGTGGAAGGTCAAGGATTGCAGCCTCCACTATGGATTGAGGCTCGATGTCAAGAAGACAAAGATTGTCACCACTGGGCTGACTGGCAACGTCATGATAGATGGTGAAGAGACTGAAATTGTCAAAATATTTTGTTTACTTGGTACCACAATCAACACTCTTGTTACCAGCAGCCAGGAAATCAAAAGATAAATTGTACCGGTAAAGTCTCCCGTCAGGGACCTCTCTATAGTACTGAGGAGCAACAGTATCAGTCTGGACACTAATATGTGCCTGATCCACATCACACTGTTCACAATTACTTGCTATGTTCAGAAATTTGGACAATTACTAGGGATGATAGAAGGAGAATTGATGCCTTTGAGCTGTGGTGCTAGAGAAGAGTATTTAATATACCATGGACTGCAAGGAGAACAAACAGGTTCGTCCTAGAGAGGGTGAGACAAGGCTGCTCCTTGAAGGCAAGGATTCTGAAGCTTCACCTGACATATTTTGAGCATGTTGTAAGGAGGGACCAGTCCTTGGAGAGGGACATCATGCTTGGGAGGGTGCAGGGACAGCACAAGAGGGGAAGACCCTCGATGAGATGGATTGATTCAGTGACAGGGGTAATGGGAGTGGGTGCATCAGAGACAATAAGGTTGGCATAGAAGAGAGCAGGGTTCAGAGCTGCTATACACATAGGGTGGCCAGGAGTCACAAGTGACTCAATGGTACATAACAACAACAATCACAAGGTCACCTTTTAGCAAAATACCATCACTTTTTTTTAGTAGCTGATCACACTTCTTTGAGTTGGCAGTGAACTCCTTAACAGTAAGCCACCAGTGTTCTCTGAGTATAGACAGTACTATTAAAAAAAAGAGCTTTGGTGGCCTGGAAGTACGAAGTTGTGCTAGCAATTCAACAGTTCACAGTTCAAATTCACCACGTCCTCTGGAGAAGAAAAATGAGCAGTTTCCTCCCCTGAGATTAATTGCCTCTAAAAACCCGCTGGAAGGTCAGTTATGGGTCAGTTCTGACACCATGGCACACAACTACTCTCTACATGAGACCAATAGATCATCAATTACACTGACATCAAAAGAGAAAATAGAAAGTAGCAGGGAAACTAGAATACTGGAAACAGAACAACCAGAATGCAATTTAAAAAGAGAATGCCGGCACATTATGAAATGTGTAACTACAGTTACTAAACAATTTACTTAGAAAATGTAAAATGGAAACCAAATTTGCTGTGTGAAAGTTAATAAAAAACAATTAAGTATTATTTAAAAATAAATATCAGTATCTAACAAAATAGCAAAGTCTATCCAAAATTTATCTTCATGTTTTTTAACTCTCCTATCTTACAAGGTAAACATGCTTCATGACACAAAATTACAAAATGGCATCCACGTTTTAAGCGAACAATCAGCAAACTATGAGCCACTGCCTCATTTTATGAATAAGGTTTTACTGGAGCATATGCATACTCATTCATTTACTGGCTGTCTTTGGCTGCTTGGAGTACAATGATAGTAAAAGTAAATACAACAGAGACCATACAATAGGAAAAAATTTTCCCGTAACTCACAATAAAAGGGAGGGGGATAAAAAGAAAACTCATTATCAGATCCTTTGCAAAAAAAGTTCACCAGTTCCCACTGTTTTACTTCCCTTTCAAAATTCAATTCTTCCAAGATTTGTTGTTGTTGCTATGTGCCGTCGAGTTGCTTGCAACTAATAGCGACCGTATGTACAACAGTCCTAAACTCTGCTCTGTCCTGTGCCAATCTCATTGTCTCCGACACATTCATCCCAATTACCCCAGTCACCAAATCAATCCACCTCCCAGAGGGGCTTCCCCTCCTGCGCCGGCCCTCTACCCACCCAAGCATGCTGTCCCTCTCCAAGGACCGGTCTCTCCTTACAACATGACCAAACTATGTCAGATGAAGCCTCAGAATCCTTGCCTCCAAGGAGCCACCCGGTTTAACCCTTTCCAGGATGAATCAATACTCTTCTCCAACACTAAAGCTCAAGGCATCAATACTCCTTCAAAGGAAAAAGGCACTTACATTTTACTCTGAAATGATCATAATGATATGCTTATAAATATGCATTAAAGAAAAGTAATAGTAACGCTCGCATCACTAGAGTTGGTGTTCCAGTGCAGTAACCCAGGGTGTCACTCCCTGCATGATCCTCCTCCAACATTTACTGTACAGAATCCTTAGTAATATTTATTATCAATTTTAATCACAGAATAAAATGTGGGTAGTAAGCTGTAAATTACTTAAATGTAATCTTATATGAAACCTAATATCAAAATTGTTCCACAAATTTTTTTTCTGTATTGATTACATTTTTACCAACTGAACAGAAACTTGTTTTTACTTTCCCCCTCCTTTTAATTTCTATTTATTTTCAAAAAAATATATTAATAGAGGCTCACAAAGACTACTGATCACATTATTGTAGCTAAAATACCAAAACGTTGACAAGATCAGCACTATAAAAAAACTATCAACAACAAAAACAACAGTGTTTGCTTATGCAGACAAAATTATGTGATCGGAACTGTTACTGCAATTGGGTAATAATGGCCTCTCTGGGCCACAGCACATTACAAAGTTCAAAAAGTAAGCCCACATAATGCTTAACTTGCTAAGTACATTGAGATAAACATACATACATACATACATATGTGTGTGTGTGTGTGTGTGTGTGTGTGTGTGTAAATCTCACACTCGTCAAAAATGTTTATGTTGTTAAAACTCTCTGTTGTTGTTGTTATATGTCATTGAGTCAGAACTGACTCATAGTTGACCCTCCAGTGAGTTTTTAGGGGCTGTAAATCGCACATCAGGAGACTGTCCAGGTTTATCCTCTGGAGCAGCTGGTGGATTCAAACTGACTGACTTTGAGTCAGCAGCCCAACTCCATTCCACTAGGCCACAAGTGTTCCCTTACAACTCACTACAGGGTTATTTTTAATTAAAAAAAAAAAACAAACAAAAAACCTAATAAGGTTCTGCTGTACTGAACATTACTTTCAGATACTCTGGAGTGGTCTTGTGTGACAAGGTCACTCAGCGTGGCCCAAGTACCATCCCCAAGCCCCCATACATCTCCAATGACATCATTACGTAATGAGAATACTTACAATCTTTCAAGAAGACTTAACCCCGAAAACGAGCCATTCTTCAGCTCCGATATTTTATTGTTACTCAGAATCCTAAAAAAGAGAAAAAAGGAAGAAAAAAAAACCTAGTTAGGTGCCTAATATAGGTACAGCATCAACGTCAAAATCATTTAGATCATATGCTTCAGCCCAGGAGGAAATGCAAGAAAGCGTTTAAACTCAAAGAATTTCTGAGCTGCCTGACAAAACGGGAGCGCCCTGCCCTTTCTTCGCGAAACCCCCTCAAATCGCTCACTCACACATCCTGTCACACCTTAACTCGCTCCTGTCACACTTAATCCAAATTTCTACACGTAAAAGGAGAGAAGTCACTCCAGAAGAACTGCACGTTCCCTACAAGGATAAAGAACACCATCCACGTTTAGATTGACCATTCAACTTGCATATGCTAGTCTTACATTGTATTTAAATACCTATTTCAAAAACTGGGAATGAAACAGAAAAAATGTACCATGTCTGCTCTATAAAATATTAGCAAGAATGCTGAATATTATGAGTCATTTAGAAGAATACAAATTCCCCGAGTCTCTCTATCAACGTTTTTCATCCAGGCTCACATACTGACCCAGACAGTTGTGCCACATTATTGCATCCCATTTATTAGGACAATGTTCGTTTTAAAATGAACCAACGTCAGTTAAAACAAAGTGACGGTAGCGCCTACCGCTGGAAGCAAGACCTGCCAAAGTGGTAATACGAGCAACAGCTTGCCTCCTCTCCTCTTCACATTCTGTGACTTTCTGCAGGCCTGGGGCTGCTGGCAAATGGGCAAGGTTTCCATAAATAAGGTGAAAATGCTAAAGGTTCCGTAAAAAACTGGGGAGAAGGGTGGGCTCAGACGAAGGAGGAAATGAGGGCCCAGAGAAGAACGCAAGCCTGCCAATGTTTCAGGAGCAAATGACAGAAGCAGAGTTTGAATTCAAACCTCAAATCCCAACAAATGGCAACACTGGTCAAGGGGCACACAGTTACTATTCTGGAGGGAAAACTCTCCACAACCCATAGCATTGTACCACTTCAAGGACACCATACACAGATGCTGTATCCTGAGGGGTGGACCCTGGAAGACTGAGCACCCTGGAAAACGCAGTGGGGGGTGTGCAGGCTGATGAGGTGTTATCTGTGGCAGCCAGGAATGATATACACAAATAAACCAAAGTGTCCCCGGCCACAAATCTCAGAATAGAGGAAGATTTAACTGTCTACAGTGTACGAACACCAACCAAATCAGCACACTTGAAGAGTGAATGAGTGACCTTAATCATTCAGCAGGACAACAGGCATACACGGAGACTGTCCTTAGCTCAGGGGATACCCTAACAAGGGTCAGCGACATCACTACTGAAGAGCCATGGTCTGATGCTGTCTGACCGGTGATGTTGAAGCCCTCTGTCCCCTGGCCACAGTGAAGATGGCCTTTGTCATGGTAAATTATAGTACCACTGCCTCAATGAAAACGGAAGTGATGAAGATGGAGAGTTGGTCTTGCATACTCTGGGCATGTTATCAGGAGGGCCCAGTCCTTGGGAAAGGACAGCATGTTTGTAAAAGCAGAGGGTCAATGAAAAAGAAGCAGACTGTTAAGGAGAAGGGTTGATGCAGCGACTGTCACAAGGATGGGTGTAAGCCCTGTGGAGATGACCAACACACCACTGGATCAGGCAGGGTTTTGTTTCTTTGAACACAGACTAGTCAGGACCTAACTCGGCAGCAGCTAACAACAAAAATGGAAGAACGACTCCCCCAGTAAGACCAGAAAGCCTGAGCACAACACCAGAGCAAAAAGATTCAAGGGGATGCAAGTAAAAGGCAAGTTCCGATGGCAACAGAAGTTCCTAGATCCACTGTGACTGAAACCAGCCACATCTCCCCACATCTCCCAACTTCCCAATTAACACTGACATCACGTTCTTTGCATTCCTTTTTTAATTTCCATTTTTGCCTAACCATTAAGGATTTGGGGGGGGGGTGTTCAACATAAGGAACTCTAAACATTCTGTCAATTATAGTTTGTATCTAGATATTTTTAACAATGGAAAAAAATGCACAATATAAAGGGCAGGGAGAAACGAAGAGCAAACCTTTTCTTATCTTAAGGCTATGTGTTGCTGTTATTGTTGTACATTGTTGTTGAATTGGAACCAACTCACAGCTGACTCCCCACTGGGTATTCAGAGGCTAAACATCACACCCAAGGAGGCTAGTTAGCCAGCTTTCTCCTGAGAAGTCACTTGTGGATTCAAACCGCTCACCTTTAGGTTAGAAGTTCCACACTCTTTATCCACCTGGCCACTAGAACCCTCTAAGGTCATCTACACACATGTCAATAAAGAGTAACTCTGTGTTCAAGGGTTTCAATAAAGCATTTGTTGCATTTAGTCTATAATTATAAAGATCTTTTCATTAACATGGTAACAAAAAAGGTATCTGACATTCAGTTTCTTTTGCCAGAAGCTGTGTGTGTGTGTGTGTACACACACACAAGTGAGCTTGCCTGTGTGAATCAACATGTCCAAGTTTTTCTCCTGGAACTTCTCACAGGAAACACAGGTCAACCTTACAGATGTTGCTGGTTCAGTTGCAGATTACCAGAATAAAGTGAGTCACAAAAAATTCCCTGGCTGCCCAGCACACATAAATCGGTTTAGTTTACACTGTCATCTATGCAGTGTGCAACAGAAAAATCCGAAATAGCAGGAGACTTACCAAAATGTGACACAGCCATACAAAATGAGCATGTTGCTAAAATATAAAGCTCATAAATGCATTCCGTTCAATATTATCACAAAGCATCAATTGTAAAAATTGCTGTATCTACGAGCCACAATAAAACGAGGTCTGGGTTTGAATGCCAGCTGTGGCTCTTGGTTAAGCAGGCCACTCCACCCCTCTAAAACAGAGCTCCTCAATTCAAAGAATGGAAAGAAAGAAAAGAAGAAGGAAGATGAAGACAAAGATGAAGAAGAAAAAAAGAAGAAACAACAGATAAAAAAAAATCAAACTGTCACTGAGTGTTCCAACTCACGGCAGAACCAAACTAAAGACATAAAAATCAGCCAGCTTACTGATCGAGTAAACCCTCTCCTACAAGACACATTTCAAACTAGTCCTACAGGATAGAGCCAGGTTCAGATCTGCTGTTCACAGGGTCACTCTGATTTGTACTCACCTTGATGGCACCTACCAACAACTCATTCAATACAATAAATGAGAAACCCCCAAAACTACATAACCTTTAATCCGTTTCTAAACTGGGATTGGGGGGAATTTACAAAGTGTGTTGTGAGATGTGTTGTGGTGGTTTGGGTTTTTTCTTTTTTGAGGGGTGTTAATCTTAAAAAAAATCTTTTTTAGTAAATGCACAGGCAATACAAAACGTGAACATACACCCCGGCACAGATCCCCTAAAGCAGCTTTCTCAAACAGCTTGGTAACGTACTTCGAAAAATCTCATCCCTAGCTCTCCTGAGTCACCATCCATGCTAAGCAAATGATCCCCACATCTGGTATAAAGAATACTCAATGATCTCAATTTCAGCATACAATACATAGCAAACAAAAATGTCAAACTGATCAGAAAGGTCAACTGTAAAAGAAAGAGTTAAACTATGATATAACCAAACAACACAATTATATACAGCCATTGATCACTCTTTTTAAAAAGGAGATTAAAAAAAAATGAACAGGAGAGTGAATACAGTAAGTTAAAAAGCAGCAAAACTGATGTCACTGACTAAAATGAATCTATGCATAGAACTCGTCACTGAGAATACATCAAAGTGAGCCCTCAAGTATGAGGCTTGTGTTAAATTTGTTTTAATCTTTATAATCTTGCAGTATCTTTCAAACTATTTAGAAGGCGAAGTTTTTCTTCATATAAATTTGTTTTCTCTTGATGATAAGCCTACTTGAAATTGGGACAATTTTTGTATGTATAAACTAAAAGTTTGTATAAAGTAAGTTATAAATGCAATTGGGCTGAGATTAAAGCATATTTTTTTATATTCAATACTATTTAGAGAATAACCTGCATTTAAAAATTAATAAACACTAAAGGTAGTGCAAAAAATACTATTCCTGGTATCTAGAGTCCCAAAGTTTTAATTAAAATTCCCACCATATTGAGAAGAATGGAATTTCCAGACACTTAATTGTATTCATGGGGAACAAGGACACAGAAGGGAAAGCAGGCAATAGAACAAAACATGAAGATATTGTGTGGCTTAGAAGCAGAAAGGTGTGTGTCACGGTTGCATCCTTTCATTACACACACACACACACACACACACACACACACACACACGTATGCTAACCAAATAATTTAAGAAGCTGAACAGTATGAAAAAGATTAGATTGGAAAAAGACTCATGAGCCAAGCTGTGATACACAAATGGCACAACCTTGCTTGTTGAAAATGAAGGGTTGAAATTCTTACGCATCTCAAACAAACCTTTTAGTATAAATTAGAATAATCATCAAACAAAACTTCTCACAACTGGACCAATAAGCTGTCGTTTGATAAACAGAAAATACTGAACTTATCAAGCATTTTATTTACTTGGGTCCACAATCAGCACCTATGAAAGCAGCAGTAAAGATATTATAAATAATGTACTGCCATGGCATTTTTAAAGGACTGAAAAACAAGGAAATCCCTTCAAAGGCTAAGGTGCATCTGACCAACCCATGTTATTTTTAGTCAACACATATGTGGTTAGGGGAGTTCTGGTGGCCGAGTGGCAAGAAGCGGAACTGCAATCCCAAAGGCACAGGGATTGAGGCCACCAGCTGCTCAACGGGAGAAGGATGGGCAGTCTCCTCCTGTGCGAGTAACTCCCTCTGAAAACCCATGAGAGGGTCAACTATGGGTCGATCCAACTCCATGGTACAGAGCAACAACATATGTGTACAAGGTGAGTAAAATTATCTTTGCTGCAATCTCAAAGCCACACGAGTTGAATCCTTCAGCTGCTCCCCAGAATGAGGACAGACAATCTCCTCCCACGTGACTTATGGTCTCTGAAAGCTGAGTC